GGTTAAATGGAGATTCAATTGAGATCTAATACGTTTGAAAAATAAAAACATTGTTTGAAAAATATGTTTTATTAGATGTTATTCTTTTACCTCTAAGTATATGCCATTCACGATTTTAAGGGGCAGAAGTATTATTATACCCATTCAATTAAAAGGTTTTATAAAATAGTAATTAAGTTATACGTCGAAATTCGGATCTTCAATTTAGTCGATAGAGTCAAAATCATACAGCGCCAGTAGGATAAAAAATCTATATAGACATTTTATGACAACTAGGGTCGTCTGATGTTAACAAAAATTACATTATTTGGGAGCGGGCGAGCGTTGTCGACTGAAATCGTAAAAAAGCGCTCAACAAGCAGCTGCAACAATAAATGATAATGAGCTGATAAGGGATCCTGTCTAGTCTTGTATGTCTCACGCACGCGCATACACTTACATACAATGCCTTATCGCCAATCCAAAACAATTTAAATCACTTTACTCCCAGTGTGTTTTTGGTTGACATTATCGTAGGCCTACTTTTGTGTTGTATTTTATTATTAATTCTGCAAACACTACAAAGAACAAATTAATGTTGTATTGAATGTTATGTTTGTGTTGTATTAATTTATATTGAATACATTTAAACATCTTTCAGTTTACTCATATAAATGGTTAGCTTGTGATTGGTTATTAGACTTGTATTGTAACATTTTACTCGTCAAGAAAAAACTCAAACTCGTTAAAGTTCTTAATGGTACTTTTCATGCTAGGACTTTTAACATATTATACAAACGAGAATTCCATGCCAAAACCACTATGAAAATAAACATAAGTCATAGTTTATGATTTTATAGTTTTAGTGCAGCCAAGAAATGTAGGAAAAGCAGGAGGTTTTAATTGCCATGCCAACGTGACCAACGTATCAGAGTAGGAAGTGACATTTATTTATAGGGAAAATAACTATGTTCTAAACTTTATAATGATTAATCTATAAAAAGTAAACTTTAAAATTGTTTTGACTTGTATCTTATAAACTTAGTACAGTAAAAGGTTTGTTAGTAAAATTATAGTAAGTTATAAAATATATTAAAGCTTTAAAAGTTTATGCATTATCTCTGACTTACATCACGTGTTTAAATATAACTTATTCCATTAATTAATGTTAGTTATTTTTCATTTGAGTTTTCATTCAAGCACCAAATAGAATGTGTATTACAGTAAAAAAATTAAATTAAACCTTTTACAAGTACGTGTTATTTTATTTTTATTTTATCTATAGTTTTCATTATTTGTTGCAAAGGATATTACATTTTAATGTATTGCAAAAAATGTGTAAGGTACCTGCTAGGTATATTAAAATTTTATAAATACAATTACAACAAGAACAAATCATAAAATAACACCGTACATTGTAGCTATTTTCAGACTTAAAATATTACATACAATTAGTTTATGCAAAATACAGCATTCTAACAGGTTTACATATTAATTCACCTTGAAATTAGCTATTTAAAATTAGTGTGCATGTAAATGCGTTACATTGTGTACCGTATATGTTCTCGTATAATCATACTGGGGGCCCCATCGGGAAATTCGCCCGGGGCCTCTGAAGTCCTAAGTCCGGCCCTGCGTAATTCACTGGACTGCCGCAATCATACTCATACTGATTATTCTACACATTGTATATTACCATTAGAATACATCAAAGTTGATGTGATGGACTAAGGAAAAAGATTGTGCACTTTTCCTGATGCGAGTTCCCATCAACCATATAGATTTTGCCTTATAGCTTCGTTATTCACTAGACTGCCGCAATCATACTCATACTGATTATTCTATACATTGTATATTAGCATTAGAATACCTCAAAGTTGATGTGATGGGCTTAGGAAAAAGATTGTGCACTTTTCCTGATGCGAGTTCCTATCAACCATATACATTTTGCCATATAACTTCGTAATTCACTGGACTGCCTCAATCATATGTATACTGAGTATTCTACACATTGTATATTACCATTAGAATACATCAAAGTTGATGTGATGGACTAAGGAAAATGATTGTGCACTTTTTCCTGATGCGAGCTCCTATCAACCATATAGATTTTGCCTTATAGCTTCGTAATTCACTGGACTGCCGCAATCATACTCATACTGATTATTCTAAACATTGTATATTATCATTAGAATACCTCAAAATTGATGTGATGTTCTTAGGAAAAAGAGTGTGCACTTTTCCTGACGCAAATTCCTATCAACCATATAGATTTTGCCTTATAGCTTCGTAATTCACTGGACTGCCGCAATCATACTCATACTGATTATTCTATACATTGTATATTAGCATTAGAATACATCAAAGTTGATGTGATGGGCTTAGGAAAAAGATTGTGCACTTTTCCCGATGCGAGTTCCTATCAACCATATACATTTTGCCATATAACTTCGTAATTTACAGGACTGCCGCAATCATACTCATACTGATTATTCTAAACATTGTATATTACCATTAGAATACCTCAAAGTTGATGTGATGGGTTCAGGAAAAAGATTGTGCACTTTTCCTGACGCGAGTTCCTATCAACCATATACATTATGCCATATAACTTCGTAATTTAAGGGACTGCCGCAATCATACTCATACTGATTATTCTAAACATTGTATATTACCATAAGAATACCTTTAAAGATGATGTGATGGGCTTAGGAAAAAGATTGTGCACTTTTCCTGACGCAAATTCCTATCAACCATATAGATTTTGCCTTATAGCTTCGTAATTCACTCGACTGCCGCAATCATACTCATACTGATTATTCTATACATTGTATATTAGCATTAGAATACATCAAAGTTGATGTGATGGGCTTAGGAAAAAGATTGTGCACTTTTCCTGATGCGAGTTCCTATCAACCATATACATTTTGCCATATAACTTCGTAATTTACTGGACTGCCGCAATCATACTCATACTGATTATTCTAAGCATTGTATATTACCATTAGAATACCTCAAAGTTGATGTGATGGGCTTAGGAAAAAGATTGTGCACTTTTCCTGACGCAAATTCCTATCAACCATATTGATTTTGCCTTATAGCTTCGTAATTCACGGGACTGCCGCAATCATACTCATACTGATTATTCTATACATTGTATATTAGCATTAGAATACCTCAGAGTTGATGTGATGGGCTTAGGAAAAAGATTGTGCTATTTTCCTGACGCAAATTCCTATCAACCATATAGATTTTGCCATATAACTTCGTAATTCACTGGACTGCCGCAATCATACTCATACCGATTATTCTAAACATTGTATATTACCATTAGAATACCTCAAAATTGATGTGATGGGCTTAGGAATAAGATTGTGCACTTTTCCTGACGCAAATTCCTATCAACCATATAGATTTTGCCTTATAGCTTCGTAATTCACTGGACTGCCGCAATCATACTCATACTGATTATTCTATACATTGTATATTAGCATTAGAATACCTCAAAGTTGATGTGATGGGCTTAGGAACAAGATTGTGCACTTTTCCTGATGCGAGTTCCTATCAACCATATACATTTTGCCATATAACTTCGTAATTCACTGGACTGCCGCAATCATACTTATACTGATTATTCTAAACATTGTATATTACCATTAGAATACCTCAAAGTTGATGTGATGGACTAAGGAAAAAGATTGTGCACTTTTTCCTGATGCGAGTTCCTATCAACCATATAGATTTTGCCTTATAGCTTCGTAATTCACTGGACTGCCTCAATCATATTTATACTGAGTATTCTACACATTGTATATTACCATTAGAATACATCAAAGTTGATGTGATGGACTAAGGAAAAAGATTGTGCACTTTTCCTGATGCGAGTTCCCATCAACCATATAGATTTTGCCTTATAGCTTCGTTATTCACTAGACTGCCGCAATCATACTCATACTGATTATTCTATACATTGTATATTAGCATTAGAATACCTCAAAGTTGATGTGATGGGCTTAGGAAAAAGATTGTGCACTTTTCCTGATGCGAGTTCCTATCAACCATATACATTTTGCCATATAACTTCGTAATTCACTGGACTGCCTCAATCATATGTATACTGAGTATTCTACACATTGTATATTACCATTAGAATACATCAAAGTTGATGTGATGGACTAAGGAAAATGATTGTGCACTTTTTCCTGATGCGAGCTCCTATCAACCATATAGATTTTGCCTTATAGCTTCGTAATTCACTGGACTGCCGCAATCATACTCATACTGATTATTCTAAACATTGTATATTACCATTAGAATACCTCAAAGTTGATGTGATGGGCTTAGGAAAAAGATTGTGCACTTTTCCTGACGCAAATTCTTATCAACCATATAGATTTTGCCTTATAGCTTCGTAATTCACTGGACTGCCTCAATCATATTTATACTGAGTATTCTACACATTGTACATTACCATTAGAATACCTCAAAGTTGATGTGATGGGCTTAGGAAAAAGATTGTACACTTTTTCCTGATACGAGTTACTATCAACCATATAGATTTTGCCTTATAGCTTCGTAATTCACTGGACTGCCTCAATCATATTTATACTGAGTATTCTACACATTGTGTATTACCATTAGAATAGCTCAAAGTTGATGTGATGGGCTTGGGAAAAAGATTATGCACTTTTTATGTTCGGAGTTTTAATTGTTCGCGTTATGTTAAGCCTTAGCTACGTATAATGTACAGTACGGTCTCAAATATGCCTTTTAAAATACGTCAAATAATTAAATTTAACTTGTATACACGTTTTATCAATGTATTATTGACATTATATAAATATAAAAACATCATTTCGCATCGTATTGTCATTGATTTGTGTTTCCGACATCCCTGCAAAACACGTTTGTGGCGTCCGCAGGCGTACCAACCCACATCTATTACAAACCGAAAAAGCGCCGATGAAAAGAGCCGCTAACTTCACGACGGTGAATCAGCCTCAGCCAGTCCATTGCCAGTGCCAGTCAGCGAGTCAGCCATTTTAATATTTTTACGATTGAACTGCAACTAACTCCCCTAGTCCACTGAAATCGTGTTGGTGTCGGTAATATTACTATTTTAGGAATAGGATAGGACATAAAAGTGAAAGCCATGCCGGGAAAGGGTGATAGAGATGTAAGCAATTTCATAATATCCTCCCTTAGGCCCAATTTTATTACAAAATTGTAAATTTATTTATTTTTCTCTGCCTTGCATGGCTTGCAGCATGTAGTTTTCATTTTTTTTATTTTTAGTTGCATGCATTGCTTTGCATGTTTTATATTGATTGAGATCCTGCATGTGTTTATTTCAGCTTTTAATTTAATTTTGTTAGTCAAGAATGCAAGAAGAAGCTTGGCATGTTATTTATTATTTATTGTATTGTTGACGTAGCCTATTGTCTTGTATGAACCGAATGGCCAAATAAATCATTTGAATCATTTAGGCCCTAAGCGAACTAACTTAGTTAAACACAACTTTGGAGGCGTAGGCCCTACCTAGTTATTTTTGGGTTTGGATGAGGCCTACCGGAATAAGTTTTCTATGTTTTTAAAATAGCCTAGTACAATAGGTGTTTATTTTTTCATTCAACCCCTCGGCAATGTCGTTTACAATAAGAACAACAGGAACATATTTACAGTCAGGCTAGGCCTATATAGGCCAACTTACGAAGGTGGCGGCAATGGTAGTAGGCCTAGGCTAAGTTAGCCTATTTGAAAAATAATTTAAGTTACAACTAAAGCCGGGCTTACACTATGCAGCAAAACCTGCTTTATAGCAGATTTGTGTAACATCTAGCAATTAGCCTATAAGTTATATAACTTAGGCAGAGGATACTTACGTGCCCGTTAACCGGATGTGGATTAACTTAGGCGTCTGGCAGTTACTATCATAACCTAACCTAACTACCAAACTTGCTGATGATGAAAAAACCGAATGAAGGTTAAATTATGTTGTATGTTGATAAAATAAAATTATAGGCCTAAAAAAATTATAGGCTCAAATTTGAAAAAAAGATAGGCCTAGGTACTGTTAAAAAGAAATGGCATTAGAAGTAAATTCTTTGACAAGAAGTAAGAAGGCTATTTACCACCGATCCGTGATTCGAACTAAGTTAAGAACCTCTTGAACATCAGCCAGGTAACTTACTCTATCCACTACACCACGAACACCGACGGGCAGTACATCGTATCGTGATAATGGTGTTCTGGGCCCCCACAACCTGGTGACGTCACTGCCGGAAGCGTACCGTACATCCTTTGCGTTAAAAACATTTGGTAGACGTAGAATAAGTAGGCCTACCGGTAACTTAAGTTAACTGTTCGAAAGTGCCATTACTAAGTAATAAGTAATTAATAAAGTAAGTAATTCCCAAAACACACTCGTACGTACTAGTGGTTAGAGCGTGGGACTCCGGTTCCTGGGGTCCTGTGTCCAAATAACGCCGAATCACCAATGGATATTATCTAAATGATAATGCTGTAACCCCTAGGTCTAGCCTGAAGTAATGTGAAAAACAATTCCGGGCTCGTGCCTAGCGTCCTAGGAAAAAAAGAAAAGAAAAAAATAGTAACGGTCCAATATAGGCTACCTACTAAATAATTTGTTGTTTTTTAAGCTCTACCGTACAAAATAGTTAGGAAAGAAATTGTCAACTTTTATGTTTTTTTTTTTTTTAAAGAGGTTGGCGAACTCTTTTAACCTTACATTTGCCCGTCCACATAGACTACAGATCTGTGCGTTGAACGTATTCAGCAAAGCAAGGGGTGAGCCAGTACAGTGACACGTAGGTGAACTGTACTGATAAATTTTAGTGGCAGTGACCAGGATCCGAACCCACAACATCGCTGCCTTGGGCCCAAAGTCCGTGACGCTACCAACTGAGCCACCGACTCACCAGGGTCAGTTTAGGCCAGGGGGGTTTTAGGGTCGAAAATGGGAAACCCCAATTTTTACCCCATAAATCCCCCTTTTCATAGTCCGATCATGCTGGTTAGTGAACTCGTTAGAATGAATGTAGGTTTAGACGCTTAATCACAAAATTTTATTAAAATCGGATCACTTTTGCTCGAGTTATTGTGCCAATGGACACACTTTATTTATATACTAGTGCACCTGTTGCTCGAATTGGAGCAATTGCAAATTATTACAGGCGTTATTTCAGAACAAATAACAGTCATACCGGTGGCTTAAAAGAGAGTCAACTTAAAGATAATGTAATCAATCACTCGACTCCAGTTATCGAAACTGAAAACAAATGCTCTTGTGTGTATCATGTGTTTACTATGAATAGCTGTAAACAAACTATTTGTCTGTTTTAGTATGTTAAACAAAATCTTTTCTTCATAAGAAATAAATTGGGATTTTGATGGCCTATAGGGCAAAGCCCAAGGTTTTTTATTACAGGAATTGGTGATTGGGGCATCTACACAAAACATGCTTAATTTTGACTTGTAAAAATCCGTCCATTATTAACGGAGGATTAGGGTTTCGCAGAAATAGTCCTCATGTGGACTAGTGCACCTGTTGCTCGAATTCGAGCAATTGCTAAGTATTACAGGCGTTATTTCAAAACGAATAATTCCCGATGACTTAAAAGAGTCAACTAAAAGATAATGTTATCAATCACTCCACTTCAGTTATTGAAACTGAAAACGAACTCACTCAAATGAACGCTCTTATTTAGGCCCTACATTATGGGTTTACTATAAACAGCTTTACTATAAAATATTTGTCCATTTAAGTAAACAAAATCTTTTCTTCATAAGAGATACATTGTGATTTTGATGGCCTGTGGGGCCTCAAAACCAAAAAATATGCAACAGTAATCATCTTAAATTAATCGGTCCCGGGTCCAGGTCTTAGCATGAGTACTACGGTAATAGCTTATTCCCTATGGGAAATTTGCTAAAAGCATAGGCCTAGGCTATGCTAATTAAAGCATAGCCTGATATAATAATTTAGCTGAATTAAAGCTAAACTTAAAATTGGCTAATTAACATTAAATAAGAATAAAATATAAGTTAAGTAAATAGGAAAAAGGGGCACAGTCCTGCAGAAGACCTGCGATATATTATCGAATGAATAACTATATTATATCAAAATGTATCCAGTTCGATGTTAATATTTCATGGATTATTTAGAACCATAATAAAAACAATAACAGAAACATTAAAGAAGATTTTTGTGTTTATTATCCTTAATTAATTATATGCTAAGTAATTACAATTAAAAATGGAGAAAACAATTAATTTTATAATCCTATGCAGTTATCATATTAGACCTAACAGTATTAAAAACTGAGTTGGTTTTCTGAAATAGGCTAACAACGTTTGATCCTGTAAAAAGCGAAATCATAGGCTTTTGTCTACAATCATATAGGCCTAGTTTGTGGTTTAAGTTTTTTTTTTAATTTTTCATTAAATATTAGGCCTATTTTTTATGGTAAAACGCTAAATCAGTTTTACTCTTTAATAAAAACTTACGATTTGACTTATGTATGTCCCTCACTCACGGTCGAACAAACAGGTAACACACTGATTCTGTCTCTTACCCATGGTTAACTTGACCAGCCGTTTACGCAAACATACAAGAGACTGAATAAAAAAAAGCACGAGTGCAAGAAATGATTCAGGCTGTTCCTAGAAAGATGTGTGAGGTACGGCAGCGATGAGTAGGCCTACTGCTGAAACCCGTTAAATACAAGTTTTACTAAAATTATTACCAACCCAGTATTTTTTTTAACAACCCATGGTTTAAAGATCCCTTTTTCGGGATAAAAATCCCGCATATGCAGTCAAGGGTCACACAGTACGCCTATTGGATTACTTACATCGATTGCTTCATTGCGTTCCACATTGGTAGTCGCATGGAATGTGAGGCCTGATTGTTATGCTGGCAAGAGGTGTCGGCATTCCGTGTAACTTGTATGACCGCCGAACTGGGAGGCGTGGGGCAGTCAGTCGAGTTAGAAGTGTCAGTCACTCACGGTTACACAATTCTTCTCTCCCCGCGGTTTCCTCGGGGTAGACATATTTTTCAAAATTCTATCAACTTATGTACCGCTAACTAACTTAAGTGATTAGTAGTAAGAAGTAGGCCTAACTTCAATCACTCCAAATTAACTCCTTCCAAATAATAAACCAAGTATTGGCTCAGGTTTCCCTTAACTTATTGAGTTTCCTGCCATCCCTGTGAGTGGTCGTCATAGTTAAGCTAAATCTAAGCGTAGGCTATATGCTAGACTTATGGAATGCTCTCCAATACAACGGGAGTGTTGCACGACGTCCAAGTGCCACGACGTCCAAAACATAATTTTTGAGTTGTTGCACGATGTCCAAGTGCCACGACGTCCAAAAGTACAGTAACTGCCAAAAATATAGTCTTTCTACAAGCTTTGGACGTCGTGGCACTTGGACGTCGTGAAACAGCGCACTGTAGAATTGTAAAGAAGTATCATTTGCACCACGTCCAAAGCCTCTGCCAGTTGCACGACGTCCAAGTGCCACGACGTCCAATCAATATTTGACTGTTGCACGACGTCCAAGTGCCACGACGTCCAAAGTGCCTGCACACTGTGAACACTTTTTGCCGACCTCAGTGCATACATACAGTTCGCATTGCAATTATTGAAGGCAACTAGGCCTAGTCAACTGTTTGAAAGTTGTCAACCGCTTCGTCTTCGATTAATGTTTAAATTATTCAATATTCAATGGTTCTAATAGAACTAATTATTGCATTAGCTTAATTTTTTTATATGTAAAATAAATACTATGTCACCGTAAAATGTAATGATGCAGGATTTCTGTTGTTATGATTGCATAATTGATTTATACAAAATAGAATATTTGAAAATTATTTACCATGGATACCATTATTTAATTATTTAAAATATTATTACCATGGATACCATCAATCAATATTTTAAAATCTCTCACCTCAAATTTTTTAAAGCCCACGGGGCAGAGCCCTAGGACAATAACGAAGAGGGAATAGTTGTATAATATGTATCCTCGGAGCTGTAGCTTCATTTGCGTGCAATTTGAGCCCAGTCGGTTCAGTACTTTTTGAGATTATCTCATACAAACACACAGACACACACACATACACAGACACCACCTCTTCTTTATAATAGT